CATTATGGCACAAAGTTACACTGCTCTAGCAAGGTACTGTATACTGTATAGTATGTTTATAACATGACATCCCAGACTGGATCTTCCTATATAGAGTATGTGTCCTCTATATGTACCTATCTTGGACCACTCCTGAGAAAGACTTAAAAATGTTCCTTTTTTTTTGCAGTTTGAAAGGTAGTTTGGTTTTATTTTGAAATCCATGCTTTTATTTTGAAACAGGAAACTGGCACAAAACCGTTAAAGGCCTTGTTAGTAACGTTTGTTTTAGGATATGGTAAATAGTGTGCCTTAAAGTGAAAAATATGTACATTTCCTGTGCCAGTTAGTACCTGGCTGACAGTGGCACAAGGTTTGTTAATGTTTCCTTTAATGGAATAAGTTATGTGCAATCACAATGTCGTTTAATAGAGTTTATGTGTAGTTGTAAGTCAGTGAGGTGATATAGTGAATTGAGTGATGTAAATTTGATTTGTATGCTATATGTGAGCAGGAGAAATTTATTTCCTTGATATTTTGATGTTATGGTAGTAATATTGTTAGTTTTGTTTTGCTCCTAGCTCTTACGGTGTCTTCACTGAATATTTCAATAAAACATTTTCCAATAAAACCTCTGTGAAGCATCAGTATAAGAGACCATCATTCAGCCAGGGATGCTACACAGTTATCAGCCAAAACAGTAGAACAATGACACAAACTGCTGAGCGGCTCTTCCTGTGACTCTCAAACTTTATTTTTAAGCAGAAACAAGTTGCCATATTTCCTACGAAACACAATTTCCATACACTACCTAAAATTTGTGTTGATCTGTCACCACAAACCGATTTAAAGTGTGACAAACAAAAGCGGTTAGGTTAAGTGAAGCAATGCTTTTTAAGTGTGAAAGGCATTTTGTAATTTGTTGAAACAGGCTGCAATGCTGCTGATTTTTATCACTTTGGTTGATCGTGTGCTCATTTGTGGACTTTTTTGTAAGGGGCAACTGACATTTTGCTGTAGAGATTATTTAGCTGTGTGTGAAGAAGACTGATGTAGAGTGCTGTGGAGGTTTCCAAACTGAGGAACTTGTTTGTTTGGAATGTTGATTCTATATGTTTTAGAAAATGGCCTGGAAATGTGTATTTGGGGAAGTGATCATGTAGATTTCAGATATAAGCCATCTCAGCTTCAACCCTCCTTTTCTCCCCAACCTACTTCTTCAGAATTATACATCCTGTCTTTCACACATGCTCTGAATTAAGGATATGACTGGCTGAGTAGCGTCACGTGGAATGAGTTCCTGCCATTGGTTTGTTTGCGTACATACACTGATTATCATAAAGACAAAGGAAAAAGTGGTGCAAGTTAAAATAAGTTTACTGTACATATGAGAAAGAGTCCAATATAAGGGTCTTAAGTTGGACTGTTGGTGACCTAAACTATATGTTTATTATGCTGAAATGCCCTCTAGTCTTCTTCACACTGCAGTGCGTTCAGTTTCCACAGTATCGCACAGGGTTCGTACGGGTGCTTGAAATCCTTGAAAATGCTTGAATTTTAATGTTGTATTTTCAAGGTTTGAAAAGTGCTTGAATTTCAGATGTGGTGCTTGAAAGTGTAACTGTATTTCATTCACCACAAATAACTATCTGGTTGAATAGTTTTCTTATCAGATAGAGAAATAAAATGAGTCGCAAAATGTAAAAGCAAAATTTCGCCATCTGGGCTGTCTTGCGCCTCCGTCTGTTTCAACGTGTGACCCCGCCCCTCCCTCGAACAGTCGGGGATGAGTACGCTAACATACCTGTAGGTTGCTGTTTTAATGAGTGTTTGATGGAACAAATGGCGGAGTTTGTGCTCTCCAGTCGCATGATAGGTGAGTGCTAGTAAATAATTTTCCAGTACGTGTACGTTACACATGCTATTTTTTTAAAATTATGATTATTATTTTGCTATCAAACTCGCTGGAGAAATGATTGAAATGCACTGAGTGTGATGCAGTATGGCAGCGCTATTATGGAATATGCTGTGAACTTAGCTAACATTACTTAGCAGTGATATGAGTTACTTTGCTCAAGTGAAAGCTTTAAACATTAGCCTGATACATAACTAGCCAACTTAGGCTTTCTGATTATCCCTCTGGGGTCGACGGACCAAGAGTCTTCATTTCAACTTGGGTCGAACGTGCAGATTTCAAACTATGTACCAGGTTTTAAATTGTGTTGATAGGCCACGTAAAACCGGTGTTTTTTTTGTTTTTTTTTTCTGAATAAAACTGGCGTTTACTCCGGGAAGAAACGGTAAAAACAGCGTTTTCTAAGGAGAGCGCTAGCAAACATGCTTTGATTGTGAGTGAAAAAAGAAAAAGAAAAA